CATTTAAATATTTAATTATATTATAATATTAAAATTTGAATTTGATATATTGTTATGAGATTGAATCTGCAAACGGGTCTTAAAAATTGAATTGCATTATGGAATGAAATCGTAAATTATGATTCAAATTAAAAAAATAATGTTAATAAAACAAGTTTCATGAAGGTAAAACTAGTTCATGTTGTAATTGATTCATGAGTAATATGAAATCGTTTCATGGTGAACCACGTTTCAGTGATGGTGTAGTTGATCCGTTTAATAGAAAAAATGGAACATGTGAAACGTGTGCATAATTTATTTGATTTGTCATGAAATAATTGCATGATGAAACAGGTGCATAATTTATTTGATTTGTCATGAAATAATTGCATGATGAAACGGGTACATGATGAATCTACTTCGGGATCTTGAAGATTGTAATCTGCTCCAGAATCTTGAAGATTGTAAGGATTAAAGGAAAGAATGCATCAAATCATGAGTGAAATAAAAAAATTAATTTACATGAAACAGGTTTCATGAAAGTGAAACTGGGTCATGTTGTAATTGATTCATGAGTAATAAGAAATCATTTCATGATGAAACATGCTTCAGTGATGGTGTAGTTGATCCGTTTAGTAGAAAAAATGGAACATAAAACGAATGCATAATTTATTTGGTTTGTCATAAAATAATTGCATTATGAAACGGGTACATGATGAATCTGCTTCGGGATCTTGAAGACTGTAAGGAGTAAAGAAAAGAATGCATCAAATCATGAGTGAAATAAAAAAATTAATTTACATGAAGGTGAAACTGGTTCATGGCATAATTGAATGATGAGTTGTGAACTTCTTTCATGGTGAAACCCGTTTCAGTGATGGTGTAGGTGATCCATTCAGTTGATGAAATGAAAAATGAAACGGGTGCATAATGTAGGCGATTCGTTATAAAATAATTGCAAGATGAAATAAATTAGTTTCATTAATAATAATAAATGTTAACGTAAAAATAATAAATTATTTTACAAAAAATTGATTAGTTTCATTAATAATATGCTATACATAATATGGTTTCCTTGAATAAATGAAAATATTTGGTTTTACCCTTTTGCCTTATCAATATTATAAAATGTATTTTTTATTTATTTATTTTTAATTTCTTTAAATAACTTTGATTAATCTTAACCATTGATTAAGAAAATGGATGAGTGAGATTGGTTTATACAAATAGAGGCGGTTTTTATTTGATCGTTTCTCTCTCTATATATATTAAATGCTAGTGTTGAATTTTTTCTACAAACACTTACCTGATAAATGTTTGGTAAACAGTCCCTTGTTATCACTAATATTTTCTTAAAATAGATAGTAGGGATCTAAACAAGCACTTTTGCATACTACGAGGTGTTTTTTAGCAATAAAAATTTTGTAGGAACCTAAACCAGAAAAACAACAAACCACAGGGACCAAAGTTGTAATTTACTCTTTACAAAATAACAAGAATTTAAAATTAAAAAAAAAAAAAAAAAAAACAGGACACAAAAAAGATGTTTACGCAACTTTTTTTTTTTCATCTGGAAATAGATCTCGACATGTGGTTATAACTCGAGATTCAATATTCCATAGGAGTGGACCCCACCCACCATCCCTACCCTCTTGTCTTTTATGAATACATATCACTCCTAATTATTTTGTAAACCTTTTAAAAATATAAACTAATTTCGATCGATAAATATTTTGATTATTTATTAATTTAGAACAATGTTTATAATGAATAAATTATGATCATGTTTCGTAAATCTTTTGATCATAGTAATTGAAATTCATCGTTTTCGATAAAGATTTCAATTGTTTGGTTTGTATACAGAGAAAGTTTGCAAATGACTGAGATCTACATATACGCACATATTAAAAAAGACAGATTTAAAGGAGAAGACAAGAAGTTCTAAGATCATACATAATTACATATGATACAACATATATTGAGTTGACCTGCAGATGACGGACGACCTTTCCCACGACCATTATCGCTCACGTCCCTTGGACGTGTTGTATCACATGTAATCATATGTGATCTTAAACTTCTCGTTTTTTTTTCTTCATCAATTGATTAATTTCTAAATGATGCTATCCCCCCCTCTCTCTCTCTCTATCTCTCTCTCTCTCTCTCTATATATATATATATATATATATATATATATATATACACACACACACTATATTATAAAGCATTAAAGCATTTGACAAAAACTTTTAAAAATTATTTTTTTTATGCATGAAGTACTGTTTATTAATGCATATTACTTAAAAATCAATTTTACAAGTAATTTTTGCGTAAGTATAACCTATTAAAGCTTCATTTTTAAGTTCGTGTAACTAATTACAGATAAACATAATCAAATACAGAATAAACATCCATTTTAAATATAAAAAATCTAAAATATAATTAAAATAATCATTGAGTTATAATATTATGTCTATAGAAATTATATTGTTAAACCAAATATAAATTACTTTGTTATAAATCTAAATTAAATTATAATAAAGAATTGAATTAAATAATGTTGGTCCCAAAAGGGTCTACAAGAATACTAAACAGTTTGTAGAAGGGGGGGGGGGATGAATACAAACACAATTTTCAAATTTTAAATATATATTGATAAAGAAGATCAATACAGATTTTACAAGATTGTTTGCGGAAAGATAAGTAGAGAGAAACCTATCTAAACAATCTTAAGATACACACAAAGAATAACAAATATAAGAAAAGATATTGCTGAGAGATTCTTTTACTTAAGCTGAAAGAAGCTT